AGACCCTTGGTAGGTTCCTCTGTACTTATTTGTTGGGAGGGGGGGTTCGGGTCCGGCTCTGATGCTCCCCCCCTGCAGGGCTTGGCCTCAGGTGCGCTCGCATGTGTCTTTGTGTGTGTTCGGGGGCATGTTCAACCAGGATTCCTACCCACCCGCCCCAATTTCCTCCTGTTCACACCAGAGTCGGCCCTGGATGGACTTGCTCCAGGTGTGCCCCACCTGGGGTGGTGTGTGTGTGATGGGGGTGGGGCTTCTGGAGCTTCGAAATCTTTCAGGTGAAGAGGAGCAAAAAGGTGTGCAGAGGGTGGTGTGTCAAAAAGGGGGTGTAAAGAGGGAGCAGAGAAGAGCCTTTCGAACCCCCTCCTCCTGTATCCCCTACTAAAGCTATCCCAGGCCCTGCCTGACCTGAAAATGCTCCCCCCACGCCCTCCTGCACTGCTCTTGCCCCCCCCCCGCTGTCCTTGTCTGGTGTCTGTCCTCACCCCCCCATTCCACCAGACACCCCCCACTGCGCTTCCCTTCTGACGTGCGTTCGTCCGTCGAAGTGGGGAGGGGGGCAAAGGGCCTTGTTTGCGTGTGTCCTGGCGGGGAGAGTGCAGGAGACCCCCCCCAAAAAAAAACTGGAAAAGAGGGGGCCTGAGTGCTCCCGGCCAAGGGGGGGTCGGCCGCGTGGTGGAAGCTGGCACCAAGAGGTTAGTGCCAGAAGGCGGGAAGAGGGAAGGGGCCTGTCTCTTGGGGGGGGAAGAAGTCGGGCGCTGAGTTGGGTTGGGAAAAGTGGGATGGGGGGTTCCTCCCCAAGCAGCCCCCAGAAACTCAGCCGCCAGCCCACGGGAGACCCCTGGGGGGGGCTGGGCGGGAAGAGGGAGCCCATGATTTTCGGGGTGGTTCCTGGGGGTCCGGACACCCCTCGGGACGCCTTTCCTGGGGGGTGTGAGGGGGTGTGTGGAAAACCGTGCGCGGGGTGGAGGGGGGGGACTGCAGTGGCGCCCCCTACCGTCAATAAATAAGCGCCGCTCTCTCTCCCCTTTCTGTCTCCGCTGCAGGAGAGGCAGTTTTCCGCCGTGGGTGCAGCAAACCCGCGTCTGAGCGTCGCGCTGGGATCCCCCTGGAACGGGATCCTACCCGGGCAACCGCCTCCGCCCCCGCGACTCCAGATCACGGAAAATGGAGAGTTTCGCAACACCGCGTCTGAGCACTA